AGAAAATTAACTCTATCCCAGCCGAAACCAGGACAAGGGGTTTGTACTAAGCCCACTGTGCAAAGGATGCTTAGAGAAATAGTAAAAGAACAGGCAGCAATCCTTCCCCAGGACACTGTACCAGTTTTAATCAGACTGCTGTGAGAAATGCTGAATAACCTTGCCTTTGTTCATCTTCCCCCACCACACCCTTAACTTCAGATTTCTGTTTCAAGCTGGGAACCCTGTCCAGACTGCTCCCAGCAATTCCTCTGCAAAAGACACAGGCAGAGTCTAAGGCCTGGCTTCATGCCATTTTCCACAACTTCATTCCCTTTTTCAGAGGGATATTGATACAGAGATCACAAGCAAGTGATTGCTCCTTTATTACATACCCAAACATGGCCACAAGCAGGTTCACAAGAAGGATGTTAGTTGAGAGCATGTAAATGCAGACAAGGGGAATGGTAATCCACTCTGGGAAGCGGGGTTGGTTGTTGGCATCCAGCTCCACGCACAAGGGCTTGGACTCATTCCCAGAAAAGGTGCAGCGGTCAAAGTTGTAGGTGGTACCTCAGAGTGAGAGATGAGAGCAAAGGGTGAGCCCTCTCCCCCTCTTTCTGTTGGTTCCAGACCCAGGTACTGCCACTGACCACAATACATGTGGCCGCCTCCTTTCCCGCCTCCCCATCAGACATAAAACCTTGCCCTATTGCTGCTTGGAGGAAAGAGGTCAACACAGGACTGGATAACCACTGAAAGGACAGAGCCTTCCACCCACCCAGGAGAGCTTCCCACAGAAAACAGGTACCATCAACATCATCAGGGTACTGGCCAAACATAGCCAGGTATGGCTCGTAGATGACAGATCGAAATATCCACTCCCAGCGGTGCTCATTCTTCCTCAGGATGCCTTGCCTGGCCACACCAAAGGCCACCATCCACACAGCAAAGAGGAAGAGGAAGAAGAAGACATCTATCATCTGAAAAAGGACAACAAGCAAATGCATCAGTGCCCCACTGCATGCCTGTCGCAAGCCACACATGCCTTTTCTCCTCCCTGATTTGATATTTGGGTGGAGAAAAAATATTAGAAAAGCCTACACAGCACCATTTTAATGCATGTTTTAAGATCACTGCTTCATAAATTTACAGTCACCAACACACACACATGCAAATAATTTATCATTCCCACTCAGGGAACTTCCAAAATGTTTACACAACCAGAAAACCAAGGCACATTTCAGAATACAGGACATCCCCCTGGCATCAGACAGGGTCCATGCACAAAAGTCAGATCCACACATATTTATGCAACAACTGTATCTGCAGACCCTGCAGCCGAGTGTCAGGTGAAACCAGCCACCACTTCTGAAAATGCCACCCTGGATAGCTTCAAACCAGCATTTACAGTCCAGACACTCTGGCTAACAGTTTCATGAATTTCTGGCTCTTAACAATATACAGATAACTGAAGACTGGCACTGTCCCAGCTGAGCTTTCCCTTTTGTTGCAGATCCACCTCCACTGAGATCTGCCCTTCCACTAGCCCCAAGCAACTTTATTATTAGACTTACTCAAAAACTCATCCCTTTTAAAGAAGGCTAAACAAGAGAAAGATGTACAGGAAACAATCCTCTGTTGATGCTTCCATATCATAAGGCACTCTAGGACCAGGTAATCTCTAGACTTCAGCTTTGCAGCAGTGGTATAAGGCAAAATAAAGGCTTTCTGGGTAAGCTGCAGACCACACTACTACTCCTGTTGTCACCACACAGATGTTTTTTAAATTCCATATATGCCAATCCTTTGCTATGGCACAAGACCACTGCAGAAATGCAGAAAGACATGGAAAACCTCTCCTAAAGACATCTAGCAATATTCACTTTGTATGCCCTTTGAGCGCCGTTCCCCAAATGCTTCCCATGTTGAGTGCACTTCAAATCTCTTTTCTTCAGAGTATATGTGCATGTGTGCAGAGGTATCACTGGAAGGAAGATTCAAGCAGACATACTCCAGCTCTCTAATGCTCCTCATTCCCATACCTACAGCAAGCCATATCTGTATTATATGGAACCCCACTCTCTTCCTATTACCTTTCCCAGTCTGCTAGCAAAAATCCCCTCCAGCTACAAAGGACAGAATCAGCCAGGCCACTCCATGAGAGGATCCTCACCACCCGCTTCTGCAGTTACTTGTGTGATGGATGCAGTAGAAGACAGGGAATTATTAAAGACTGACCTCCTCCTCCTATACCATTTATCATCACTGCCTTGTTTGGAGAATGCTCATGTGAGCAACAAGACCGATGGAACATACCACTGAAACATTTGAGACATGCAAGACAAAAGCTGCCAGGAAACAAATTACCTCTTCTGTTCTTCAGCCTGATCTTTATGCTCTCCCAGTGCAAAGGGAGAGAAAGAGGCCCTGCTCTTAATTAGGTCCTATTTAAATCTTAATTAATCCTGTTTAGCAGATTTAAGAGAAGCAGAGAACTTGCTGCCATCATCAGAACAGTGGTGATTTTCACTCTTGAGGAAAAACAAGGCGTCACATCATTTATTCAGACTCTCTTGAATAGCTGCCAGAAACTTACCATCCTCTGCAGCATAATAATTTTGGGTCCTAGATTCCTGCTAACGGTGAAAATATGGATCAGCCTCAGAGTAAAAACTATGTAGTCCAAACAGAAAATGACTCTCCCAGAATACCAAGAACTTTCATCAGATGAGTGAAGCCTGATGGAGACAGTAAAAGAAAATGAAGAGAAGCATTGGGTAAAGCATACAGAAGTCAGGTAAAAATACACCAAAATGGGGAGTGGAAAGTGAGTAACTGGAAAACAGAGCACAGCTATCCAGGGCCCCATGCCCTCTCCCACCTGATGACAGGTGGTAGAAGTGGTTAATGCACACCTTGTTTACAGCCTTCCTATCTTAGCTACATCATTGCTGTGTCTCCCCTTCCCCTCTAAAACTATTAACAGCAAGGAAATCTTGTACCTTTAGCTATTCCCACAGCCCTCCAAAAACATCCATGCAATGACCACTCTGCTGCACTGAGGCAACAAGAACTAAGTTACAGTTGACTGAACAATTACACTGTAAAATGTGTTTCCATCATTTCTTTGTCATGGTTGTTAACTCACCCATTCCTGTAAAACAGCTTATGTGAGCTAATGACATTCTGTTAGACTATTGTAGGTACAATTACAGTCCCCTTAAATATAACACACTAAAGCTCAAAGAGTCCAGATTACCATACTAAATAGTCAATAATAGGAGCCAGGGAAAATCCCAAAGAACTACTGACTCTCTGAGATATTGGTCATCTTACCCTGCAATTTTGCCTAATATATTCTATGTAGCCAGTCTTGAAGACACTGTCATGAAACCTAAGCCCATTTCAAACATCATCTTCTAGACATGCTCATGCCAACCTAAGTATTAAGAAGGACTGTCCTGCTGGCCCAAAAAGATCTGAGTTTAGGAAAGCCTAATTTTGTCCTTGATTTCAGGGATAGACTCAACTTCCATTAAACAAAAAAGGGAAAATATTGCATGCAGATGTTCCCCCAATCACTTTCTTTTATTTGTTTATTTGTTTTTAAAGATTTAGTGTCAAGACTTGGCAGTATTGGGGTCTTCATAAAGAACAGGGAGTTTCACAAACACATTGTTTCCCAAAATCTCATTGCACGCTGTAGTCAAAACCCAGAAAGAAAGCAAAACCATAACATGGCCACAAGAAAAGATACTACTCGCCTGAACACAATCCCTGCTATGAAGTAGAAGATTGCTAGCGTATCCATAACGTTCCACAGATCTGAGAAATACTTACTGCCATTCATGTACCACTGGAAAGGAAAAAGAGCAGAAAGTAACCACCACACATGCTTTTGATCAAAGATGCAGATTTAAGTTATTCTTTTAATTACCCGGCTCTCTATTTCTGAATTGCAAGTCTAGTGAGAATCTCTGCCCATTCCCAGACTGACTGGTACTGCACCCTGGATTCAGAGTTTGCACAAGAACCAACTTCTAGATACAAGTCAGAGGTGACTCATGATCATTAGGACAAGTAACTTAAGGCCAGGAGAAACCTCCACCAGGCCTGAAGAAATAGACCAAGTCCATAATCATAATTCTTTTTAATTTTCATTGAAATAACCAAAGCTGAGTAGAGTACTGATGAGTGAATCTCTCTAAAACCGGCATATCCAAGGAAAGCAGTTCTGCTCTCAGTATTTTTATGGGAAACAGAGATTGAGGGGAGTTTTCTTCTAAATGCAGAAAGAGCTGTGAGTAGAGAGCGCCACTTTGCTATTCCAGTTCCATAATTGTTGCATTTTCTTCACATGATGGGATGCGCCACGTGATGGACAGGTGTGGCAGCTACCAAGATGTCAGGCTTAAGATATTACCAGACACTATTTCAGCACCTTGGGACACACACACACCTTTCTTACTACTTAAAGTACCAAAGGTTGAGCTCTGGGTGAGGACAGCACATCTTGACACCCATGATGTTGGGTTGTTTCTGTCTAGTAACTCCCTGAATCAAACATAAGTTGTCTTGCTATACATGACAGTGAATTGGTGTTTTATGTGAACAACTAGATGTATAGGGTCCAAATGTCTTTCATAAAGAAATAAGCATATCACTGCACTACAGCTGTATTAAATGCAGCAGGTTTACGCCTGTTGCCTCTTCTATTAAGGGCACAATTGTGGATGAAGGAAAGGAAACAGGTTTTAGTTTAAAGCAGAAAGGGAGAAAACAGAGGCAGATGCATGTAAACAGGTGAGAACAACCGACACTGCAGCGCAGTTCAGTCCTTCAAATATCAAGTAGTTCCCACGGCTAAGAGTTAACATGCACAGAGGTTCTGTCCAGATTCCTTCTCTGAGAAAAGGGTGTTTTCCTGCACACCCCACAAGTCTATACACTCACCTGTCTGGAGGCTACATCCACATGGCTAAGAAGATAGCAGGAAAAAGGCATCTCCGATTTCACTATTGCCATGACAGCTCTAAATGGGATATCAGAAAGTAGCTCCAGCTAGTTAAAAACTCTCTAGGCCCACCAGAAGTGAAAACAGGCCTGAGCCAGTGGCTTATGGTTCAGAAAGAGTTCAGTTCTCCTGAACAGCAGAACAACCTGCTTTAAATTTGGAACACTTTCTAGTAGCTGTCATCTCCACAGACACACCACTCTCTAATCAGAGGGCTGATTTCTCCCCAAAACGAGTTATCTGACTGCAGCAGCTATAGTGGGACCCCAAGCAACGTTACTCTTACTTTTCCTTTGATGTGAAAACAGAATCGGAGACATTCCTCTTATTTTTTTTTAAATATTAAGGACACAGATACTATTTTGACTGCAGAGTTAGACCAACGCATGTCCAATCTTAGAGGAAGCCAGGGAGAAAGTTTTCTGAGAAGCTTAGAGGACTGGGACACTGCTCTGCATTCTGCTCCTTAATAAAATAGGTTTGAAGCCAGGACACTGGCTTAAGATAACTTTAAATCTTCAATAACACCTCTGTTTTAGCTGCCTTCACTCCCACAATCAAACTGGTACAGTCTGGCCACCAGCTATTAATGGGATTACTGGGATCTGATGCTGTTCTACCTGCTCAGGGTAGTTAGAAATAGTGACATTGGTAAGAAAAAAAGGTTTCTCTCCCTAAGGCTTTTCCCAGGACTTTTGCTGGGTACACACAGGAAGTGCAAGGACAGGTCCAGAGACACCAGAACCTAAATCAGCAGAAACAAACGCTCCATTAGTGTTTTCATTGCAACAGAGTCTTTTATTTTTCCCCCATTTTCCTTAGCAAGTAAAGTTGCCTTAAAAAGGGTACCACCTTGACTATTAGAAAGGAAAAAGACCACACAGCAAGTTAAGCACAGTAACATCAACACTCAGTCATGTCATCTGAGCTCATGCAAGAAATATTGTTGCAGGGTGGTCTGATCCAGCAGATCACCCACAAACACTCATTTAGAGACTAATGTCTTACAGGACAATCAGAAAGCAGCACTGCACTGAAACCACACACCCATTTCTCTTCTGATTTCCCCAGCATCTTCCCACTATTCCGCACACTGACTGGTAGACACCAGCTTGCCTGAAAACCAACATCTGTCATATGTCCCCTGACATATGAAGTGAGAAGAATATCAACTATGCAGCTGACTATAAAGGCAGTCCTGCACACTGTTCCCACACCATACCAGCACAAGCAATGCAGCCAGTCCAAAGCTGGTCTTTGGGACTATGTGAAACTAGCAAAAACTGTATTTATGATTAAAAGATAAACAGAAATACATAATGATAATGATGCTCATTGGTTTAAAAAAAAAAAAAAAAACAAAACACCACAACCAACAGGGTGGAATGTGGAGAAGAAAGGCAGGAATCACTTAATCTAGAGGTATCCATCCAGATAAATCTGTTAAATCCAGATAAATGTGTTAAATCTAACCTTCTATTCTCAACTGCTTTGGCAATCCAAGCCAAGCATTCCTCAGAAATATCTCCACTGGCATCAGTTTATCCACACAGCCTCAAAGTCAATACACATTCCTGTTGGTGCATGGACACTGCAGCTATTGGGGTGTAAGTAGGAATTAAACATCAGGGGAAAAAAAAATTAAAATATCCATTGTGCCTTGAGTTGCCTGAACATATCTACAAAGACGTGGTTTTCCTGTAACTTAGAAGCAGCCTGCACTGCCTTTCGCTACTGGGAAGCTTTTAATCTAGCACTAAACATTTTTGGTTTGCAAGCGCTGCCTACTTGTCTCACTTCATCACAAAGCAGAATGAAGACCAGCACGTAAAGGATCATCTCCAGGATGGTAGGCTCCTTCTGGAAATCCATCAGCAACACGTAGGCGAAGAGCAACAGGAAAGCGATGTAGAAGATGACATTCCAGGAGAAGACCACAAAGGGGGAGGTGAAGAAAGACACATAATACAAGAAGAGTTTCTTACTCTTCTCCACAGGCTTTTTCCTGAGGAATTAAGAGAGGGGAAAGGTCTCAAAGCATAGCTTTTATGCCTGGAAACATTTGTGCTATTTGTCAAAGTGAAAATTAGAAAGGTGCAAAGTCTAGCACAGGACATTACTTTAAAGGTAATGCCCTTCTGCATCCACTGACTTCAGGCACACAAGTAAATTGGCACATCTTAACTCCAGATCAGAGTGAGGATGGGATCTGTCAAAAGTTCATTCAGCCATTAAATATCTTTATTTGAGAGTGATTTTTGAACACTGGAACAGGTTCCCAGAGCAGCTGTGGAGCCTCCATCCTTGGAGATACTCAAAACCCAACAGGACAGTCCTGGGCAATCTGCTTTAGCTGACCCTGCTTTGAGAGCAACAGGTTGGACTGGATAATCTCCAGAGCTCCCTTCCAGCCTGAATTGCCCTATGATTCTATGACATGCTATGCTTCTGCTAATGAGAAGCCAGTTGATTACCTGAATGAGATGAAACCGCAGCCTATTAAAGGGAAAAAGAACAGACACAGTATAATCTTCCAATTCTTAGTATCTCTTGAAATCTCTCCATACCACTGCTTGGAAAGGAAATTCTGCAGGGAAGAAGAAAATATCCTCATTTATTCCAGCAGCAACAAAATAAGCTAGGAATGCTATTAGAGAACATTTGATTTAGAAAAAAACAACTTTGACATTTCAATCAAAATAACTGGGATTCCTGTTTCAACAATACAGAAAGCTTTCTGCATCAGTAACAGTGTGCTGGTTCCTTAGTCCAGCCATCCTCCACTCTACTTGACGAGGAATTCAAAGTGAGGCTGAGCAGGACTTGCCCTGATTTATAAGGCACTTTATGCTGGGCAGTACATCCACACTGTGCACACATAGGAGTTGTGCCAAGGGAGAAGTCACTTCAGGCAGTCTTCATCATCTAGCTCATTATGATTTACAGCTCTAAATCAAGTCTTCCCCTCCTGAGTTAGCATTTGTGGGCAAATCAGCCACCTCCTATTTCAAGAAGAGGAGCCACACACCCTGTCCCCCACCAGCCACAGTCAGTGCTCTCTAGGATGCATTTCACAGCACTGCAGATGCTGGTTCTGTGAGCATGCTGCAGGACATGGCTACGCTGCCGCCATGCAAAGCTCAGTGTTCACAGGGCTGGGAAATATTGCCAGCAGGCTTTCACTTCCACGAGGACAGTGTCTGAGCATTGGCCTTTCACAGACTGTTCATGTGGATGTAGCATTTTCACAGCAAGAATATTCATTTTTTTTAAGCTACCCAGATCACAAGAGTTACAGTAATCTGTGCACCTTCTTTTCACTGACATTACCTGCACCCCTGGCTGTGCAATGAACTGCTGGTCTTTAGCTTCCACTGCTAGTTCCAAACAATTGCTCCCTCCCCAGGCTTCACAGGAATAGGTCAGCAGCTGCTCAGCTAGATCTTCATCATTGCTGTAGCACTCAGTGAATAGCTCTGGAGGAAAGAGGCAGCCCCCACTGAGTTCCAACTTCAGGCTCAATTTCCCACCAACTTGGATGCAACTGTCTTCAGTGACTTCCAAAGTATAACATTTATAATATTGAAGCATGCAGATACAAGAACTCTTTCCACATTTTCAGCATGGTAAAACAACGTGTGCAATGCTTTACAACCCCACTTGCATGTATTACACTTCCATACAGAATTCATGTCTGGATGGAAAACTGTAATACTAAATCAGCTCACACAGAGACAACATTAAGTTCAGTTCTGCACTAAAAAATTGAGTAAAAAGTATGAACTTCTCCTAATCAAATGACTCAGTATATCTGCTTGTTTCATCTTCTCTTCATTCATTTAGCACTGATCTAATGAGTTATAGTCAGTCTCAGTATATCATATTAACAGTAAGGTTGAACAAGGGCAGAATCTGATGCTTTTTCACTAGGAAACAGTTGTTTTAGAAGAGTCACGAGCATCTTATTCTGCCCAAAGATTTTTGCCACTAACAATGCACATAGAGTGAAAAATTATTTCCCTTTCCAGCTCTGGATGTTTCCCACTCAAAGGCAGTTCTGTTGGTGTATCTGTGACAGAGCACATTGCCCTGAAGAATGATCCAGCCTCTAGAAAACACACCAGCCTTCACTAGATTCACTTCTCTACTACAGTGCATTTTCCCAGGCATTTCAGAAACAGGTGCATCACCGTGACTGCAAGGATGCAAAAATACAGCAATACTTTCAGCTGGTATTACCACATATACTGCAATATGCAGATAGATCTTGACAGACAGACTCCAATGGGACCTGTTCACTTCTAAATGCCTTGCTAAATAATCAGACCTGAGGGATGCAGATACCTTTAAGAAAGTCTATTTAAGCAGTTTTCGCCTTGTGAAATAGGAGATACTTTCTGGTAACAAGCAAGATATTTTCAGCATGGCCTTGTGCCACTCCTTAGTGGATAGTGAAATAGCTTTGTAGTCATTCTGATATACACACAAATAACAATAAAGCCAGAAGTTCAACAGGTCAATCTAGTCTCCATGACCCCCAGAAAAGGAACAAACATGGTCTGCTTTTAGGAGCAATAAAACAATATCCATCTGTGGAGATTTTCAAGATTTGGCTAAATGAAGCCATGACTGAACTGATTTAGTCCTGGTGGTAACACTACCTCAATGAGAAGATTGGACTAGAGGCCTCCAGAAGCCCTTTCCAGCAACATTTCTGTTGTTTCCCTATTCAATCTGCACGGTTATTGCACTTTGTCACCTAATCTGACTTATGGTGATGACAGCAGATTGCTAGGCAGCAATGCAGTTACAGATCCATTGTTTTCTGCATCAGGCAAGAGAACAAGGCTATAACCTGCAATAAAGCCCAGAGGCAACACTGTAATGTATTTCCTCCCAAGTTTAGAAACCAAGGTCCTGCTCCACAAGATGCACCACAGGTAAGCTTGAATTTATAAATTGTGGGTGCTACAAATTAAACCCAGCCATGGTATCTGCCAACTGTGCTGGCTTTCACTTGCATGTTTCTCTGAATAATTTGCAGGAAAACTAGACACTGAGGAAACATCAGCCTGCTCATGGAATGGAAGTCCTAAAAAAAAAAAAAAAGAAGGTCCCTCTGCTCTCCTGTCACCCATTACCTCATTAAACAAGAAACTATTGGTCAGTTCAGCCTATGAGATGCAGGGCTCAATTCTGAATTACTGACAGTCCTTGCAATAGGACGAACTGAAGGTCATACAAAGGAAGAAAAATAACTGGGCTAGATCTGCATTCTCAATGAGCGACAGTATTGCTTGTCATCTTAGAATACAGAATGTGTATGATTTTGCAGTCCAGAATTTAGGAATTCAATCCACTTTTTACCTGGAATTTATTCTCACGCCCCAAAAGTACTCCTGCAAATTTGAAGGGTGGCTTTTCTCAACCTGAGTATTACCAGCACTCATGCAGAAAGTTTCTCTCATTCTACATTCTCCTCCTTATTTCTGGGCACCCTTCTTCTTCAGCCTTGCCATTAGAGCTAGGTAGTTTTTTCTTCCCAATGAAAGGAATTCTCTCCCCCAAAAAAAACCCATAACACCCACTTTTGGAGGCAAGCTGTTCAGACAGGACACGCAGTTTCTACTGGGAACAGATGGTGTGGAAGAGATTTCCAAGCAGTAAAAACACATTTTGACATTAAAGGGAAGCATTTAATGTTGGATATCTAGTTTTCTAAATAAAGTTTTCTTTCTACTTCCTTTTGACATGTCATTTCTCTTCTTTAAAATTCAGGCTGAATTTCTGGGCAGCATTTCAGGCAAATTGAATGAATTATCTTGCCTTGCATTTTGCTGAACAAAACTAGCAGGGTTATCAGTTTTGCTTTGCACAAAATAAAAACATCACTATGCAATCATTGGTACACAGCAGACCTAGAGATCATTAAAACAAGTAATGTTCCAAGAACAGAAACAATTTCCTGATCTCTGACCCCTCCTATTAAATTTCTAAAGGACTTAAAGAAGGCACTTACCTACTGCTCTTGTCTCATACTCATTAGCAAGTTCCTCAGACTCACCAGCAGCATTTATATCATTCTTCACCTTCGCCATGCTTTTCAGGAGCTTACTGGCCCCGAGGGCTGCCAAAGTGCAACCTCTGGTCTATGGAGAGAGAGTTAAGTCATGCAAAGCCCTCTGCAAAGGGAATGTGATATATGCTTTAAAAATTATCCCCCTTTTTTTTTGCAGCTGCTCAGTTCCGAGTCAAGACTGGCAAATGAAGATCCAGTTCCACAAAACAAACAGTAACCATCAGTGTACTGGTAACAACTTTGTGACCAGTCTGAAAAGGTCTTGCATATAATAGTTACATATCAGCTTTGCATCTCTGGCTGAAGATTCACAAAAGAGGGTCTGCTCTGTCATGAGCTACACTGCCATTTACACTGTACACCAGTCTGGATCAGTGGGGTGTACCCAGAACTGCCCAGACTGTGTTAGTCCGTTCCATTCAGAACATCCACACATACAGGGAAGAAGCACTCTGTTTCAGACATGGAGACCAACGTGAGCATGAGCATCCATTAGCTTTGCTTGCACTAGCCTCACATTTACAGATTGTGAATTATGTATTTGATACAATCATCACTAAATGTACTGTCTAATCAAAATTAGAAATAGATTTCAATCAAATACCTGGAATCAGAACACACTCATATTGTGGAATGGGGGGGAACTCAGCATCCAAGCTTGAACATGGATGAGAACATACAACTATAGGTAAACACTAGCTTGGACTGCTGACTCACACATGACAATAGGAAAGTAAAGTATGAAATCCACACCCAAACACAAAATGGGTAATATTAAACCTACTTACAGAGTCATCTAGCAATTACCTCTTGTGGTTTTGTGTTTGAAGATGGATCCAGAGCCTTCAAAGGCCTACAAACCAAAGACAAGGAGTACCACTGTACTGTTTGTAAAGAGGAATAAAGGAGAATTCAACTTACTTGTTCCCAAATGACTTTAGACAACTCTTTCTTGTTCTGAAGAACTGACCAAATAAACAGAGCTTGCAACGGGTGCCTTGTGATAGGACACTCATCCTGAAAGAAAGAGTAACAACTCCTCAGCCCTAAGCTCACCAAACTGTTTTCAACTGGAACAAATCCTAGCCAGCCACTCTCCTGTTTTCATATTTTCTTCCTTTTATAGCCAGCCCACTGATCCTCTCTCAGCTATCTGGTGCTTGTCACACACTAATGTAAGTTAGGTTATATTTTATATGTATATTTAAACCTTATATTTTCCTATTTGATATGGAAGAATCAGCCTCCCTGTTTTTCCTAAAGTTGGCATTAAAGGGCATTTGGGTTGAAGTCACTTTCTGCTTCAACCCATGCAGTTCAGATAGCCTCACTCACATCTTGACTTTGTGTTGTGAGAACACAGATTAACATCCTCTAAAAGGAATACTAACTTTATACCAATATGCCTTTTGTGTTTAAGCAAGACCCTGAACTTCAACAGAAACTTAAACAGAGAGGAATTCTATACGGCCATCTTCTTTGCGTTAAAGCAATTAGCACCTGGGGATGGCAAAGCCACCAGAAAATGACTCTTGAGCAACAAAACTTTTAAGAACCACAGGCTTTGGTGTAAACTCCCAAAGCTAACCAGCATTTTCAAACCAAGCTTCCCCCAAATGTCACATGTATTGCATTTCATCTCTGAAGTCAATAACTGATTTCAAAAGTTTCCTATCTGACGCCCAAGCTCCAGCTTTGAAACTCAGATCTGGATCGGATGTTTGGACCTGCTGTGCTGTGATAACTAAGTCTGGTTCTAACTGACAATGAAATAAAGTCCAGAAGATGCTTCACACCCTTGCAACAAGCAAGGTTTAAGATACAAGAGTCTGTACCAAAATATGAGTCCAAATTCCTCATGCCCAGCTGGCACCTCTGTACCAAACTCTGAATTTATACTGGCATAAATTACAAGCTTAACTAGAGCACTGATTGCTCTAATAGAAAATATTTTAAACTCAACACCCTAACAAACTCACCCATTTTTCTTGTAGTTAAATGACCGTTATGTGCATTTGTAAAATGGGGCAGTATGTTAAACATAAAACAAGGCTGAGACCTCTAAAGCAAATCCTGCTATACCAGAAACAAAACATAAATTCTGTTTTTTCTTTCAGGAGACACACAGTGGAATCAAACTGTTCATTACTTACTGAAAGATCTATCTCTGTCTCATCCTTGCTATTTTTGTCATCTCTTTTGAGACCTCTTCGGAAGTCTTCAACCATCTTCCATGCAAATGTGAGGAGTGCATCGTTATAGGAGTTCTTTGCGATCTGCAGATTCTTGAACACCAGGCTGCTGAAGTTGTTTGTGTACAGCTCTCTAAGGACCTCTGTGGTAAGGAACTTTCTCAGATTCAAGCCATTTTCCAGGAAGAGACGGACAAATTTGGGCCTGTCTTTCACTAGGGCTGTGAACATGACATCCTGTAGGTCAGCAGACTAGGAAGAAATGGAAAAACAAATATTAGGGAGCACGTGAGACATATAAAGCTTATCTAAGGGCCTGACACATATGGCTAACTGCCACATTTTCCTTCATACTGCCACGTTTTCATCAGAATCATTTTTTTCTGTATGCAGTTGCCTTTGTTGGATGGCCTAGAGTACTTCTGGCATGGGCAGGTAACCTTTGCAATCAGTGATGTCAGTGCAAGGAGGAATAGACACTCTTACTTATCATCACAGAGGCTGGGGTGCTGAGAAGTGGTCTGTACCTCCCAGTTTCGATCATTGGTGAAGATCTCATCACTGGCCAGGTCCAATTGGTTCCACTCCAGAAGCAGCTTCAGCTGCCCGTTCCAGTTATCTCTGTCGTGTTCATTGGTGCTGAAAGCTGCAGAGGAGAAACAATCCTCTAGGTAAAAGACCAGAGACAGAAGAGCTTCTTGGCATACTTAGTCATCTCTGCTTTTCACACTATACCTGACAAGACCCCTATCAAGCGTCTTTCCCGAGACTCACACACATCTTCCCGATTCGGTTTTAGAGGATGCTGAAGGCTGAGAGACATATCTATGGTCAACATAGGCCACAAATGAGCTGCTAGGAGCACCTCATCAACCAAAATCAGCACAACATTTCCTTCAGGCTCCTCAGTCTCCTGTATCCTCTACACAAAAGAAATTCTGCGGGATTCCCAATGGGGCCCTACACAGGAAGTGTCATGAGAAGTTGTAACGTTCATAGTCTTTCTCCATGCACAAACAGGAAAATTAGGTCAGCCCAGAAACCTTCACTGAGTACCAGTTCTGCTCGCTGGAGTAGCAGAGAGCCCAGGTCTGAATCACTTATGGTAGTAAGTCACTGAGATTTGAAAGAGTTGGGAAGCAGCCCTGCACTGATTGTTAATTAACTGGATACTTCTGTCCCTGCTGAAAGCAGGTCAAACCTCTTCAATCCACATATATACTAAAAGATACTTGATTTTACACTGCAGGATGCTGAGTAATCCAATTCTGCAGTATAACCAGAAAAGATCCTTTGCTTGGCTTCCTGACTCCCTGTTGTGTTGCATACTTGTGTGCTACTCTCATAGATGCTATTCCAGCATCCCCAAAGCTCTGTTAAATGCCTTCCCAATTATCTGGACTGAGTTTTGATCTCACCCACGCTAACAGAACCCTTGATGCTGCTTTAGCCTGTCCACACCACTTCAGATGAAGACAAGCTCCACACTGTGGCAGGAGCTTATCTCTAGAGAGATGGCACTACTCTAAGGAAGGCTGTTCTAGAAAATAAATAGCCATTTTTTTCCATCTATTAAAAAAAAAAACAAAAAAACCACACACCAAACCACAAAACCCCTCCCGAAAAACAATTACTTGCCTTTGTACAGGGCAAAAGAAATGGCATTGCTCACAATTTCATCTCCAGCTTCTTCTATTTTGATAACTGTCAGTAAATGAGGGTTCTCAAGGACTTCTTTGATCTACAAAAAGGAAAAGTTCCATTTCAAAGCAATCTAGGCTGTTTAGTAGTTGATCTCCTAGAGCACCTTTAAAGGAAATTTCCCATCATATCATAGCAAAGCTACTTCTCAGTCCTGTTTCCACATACAGTTAAAATTTAATCAAGTCCAGATAGAAGTAGATAATGAGATTTATTTTAAAGTCACCAAAGTACAAGATTAATTACCCTCTGAACATACAGCAAATAACTGTGATTCCCCTATGCAGAACATCATAAGCAAAAAGATATAATCTCAGTAATTAGAAACTACTTATAAAGAAAAAACATTGTGACAGCACAAGTTTCAATGAACGTCTAGCAGTTTATCAGAGAACAGTTTCTACCTCCTTGTGCTTTGTCAAAACCAGAGATAATTTCTCACATAACAAAGCCTTATAAAGTTACTTGCATTCTAGCACATAGAAAACAAATAGTCTTAGCCATTCTTGACTACAGAAGGAGGTACACTCCAAGGCAGCTCAGTGGAAGACCAAACAGAGAAAACTGCCTTCAGCAGCTCCACACTCCCCAGTGCAGAGCTCCTTCTGGAATCCAGAGGCTCACAGTCTGCTCAGAGGGCAGTTCTTCCTCTTCATGTTTGGACACCACAGCCCCCAGGATCAAAGTGCAAGTTCAGATGCGGTTTCTGCAGGACTGTCTCTGTATAAGGCCATGCCCTATTTCTGCCCTTTTTCCTGCAAGCTTCTTATTACAGAAGCAGAAAATTGTTGAGGTTGGAAGATAGCTCTGCAGATCTAGTCCAAGCGTGCTGCTCAAAACAGGGTCAAGTGAAGCAGGTTGCCCAGTGGAACGTGCAAGTTGTCCCACAGACGCACTCTGCCAAACTCTGACCAAGAGATTTGACTCATGCTTTGCCAGAAACAATAGCTGCTTAAACTCGAATACCAGAAGCTTTGCTTTGTTTATTTCAAAGAAAATACACACAAAACTTTGAGTGTCTGAATTCCTCTCCAGAGCCTGCAAAATAACTGTCCTGGTTTCGGCTGGGATAGAGTTAATTTTCTTCTAAGTAGCAGGCATATAGGGCTGTGTTTTGGATTTAGTATGAGAATAATGTTGATAACACACTGATGTTCTAGTTGTTGCTAAGTACTGCTTACGCTCGTCAAGGACTTTTCAGCTTCCCATGCTCTGCCAGGTACACAAGAAACTGGGAGGGGGCACAGCCAGAATAGTTGATCCAAACTGACCAAAGGGCTATTCCATACAATATGACGTCATGCTCAGTATATAAACTGGGGGGGGGTTGGCCGGGGGCCAGCAATTGCTGCTTGGGAACTGGCTGTGTATCGGTCGGTGGGTGG